AAGGATCGGGATCCACGAGGGTGAGAGTACAGCTTGTCTTTAACGGATTGGGCCGCGGGCCAACATATATTGCACTGGCACAAAGGGCTGCAACGTTGTAGCGGTCAGAGGGCTGGCACTTGCTACCTGTTGTTGCTCATGAAATCGAATCTCACCCGAACCAGCTCTCCTTTCCCTACAAGGTTCCTTGACTACAGGACCCACAAGTCAATGATAAACAACTACCCCACGTCGGTTGGCCCACTTAAGCTCTTTGAAGGCACGCATCCGAGTTCAAAAATTAGGAGCTGTAAGGCAAGTACTGAGTAAATGATTGAGGTAGTGACGAGGAAAAAAAAGCAGAAAAAAAACCCAGCCAGAAATGTGCCATATGGAACCCGCGCTGGCTTGTAGGCGCACAAGGTGGAGAAATTGCGTGGCTGGACGAAATCTCATCATCTAATAAGAAAGTTGGGCGTGGAGATCAGAGGGCGGGACAGCGGTCTGGCCGAAAACGAGTCGCGCGCGCTTTCCTGTCGTATTTTCAGAGTGCGAGAGTAGTACATCTTCTAGCTTGCGGGCAGGACTAACCTGCCCAAAGAGGCGCCTAAACATCAAATGAACACGGGGAGTAGCTCTCAAGACTTGAACATTGCAAATCCAATTAAGTCGCAATAAAAAGCGCCTCACAATTGCATTAAACAATGCCAAGTATTTTTATAATTTGGGAGGCAACGGTAACAGAAAGCGGATTACCAACCTGAACGCCATCTTGTACCCTTCAGGAATTGATTGGTCGGCAAGAACACTCTTCAGTACATCTTCCCATTCATCCACAGCAGATAGATGATTTGATGAAGAATCGTTCGATATTTGCGACTCCGTTTCAGTCTATGCAGGAGAATGTAGCGGAGAAAGTCCGATCTCGATAACTTCTCACCTGTGAAGATATGGGATCAAGTTTTTCCCGTTTCACTTTCGTGTAATCGTAGACTGGAATGTCATCTGGCGGTCGATCGCGTGGAAATTTCAGCTGAATATTCAGAAGACATGATACACAGCACAAAAATCAGTGGTATTCACTTTTCCTGCTGAAGTTACAGCAACTCGTCCAGCTTCGATACGTGAAGCTGGATGCAGGGTCAGTGCTGAACATTGTGGGCGTTAGGAAGTGCAAGTTCTCACGGGCGAGACGCCCGCATTTACCAGGTTCCAGACGTAAATAGGTACCACTGTTGCAGTCGCACAAAGCCCAAACATTTGCTCAATTCAGCGTTGATGAAAGGGACCGCGTAGCTAGTTGAGACGTCCGTGTGGGCTTACGTATTGCAGTAACGACTATGGCAATACTTTTTAATTGGCACAAAACTGAGAGAGTTCTTCAAGTTCCGCATTACGCTTGATATACACTCTCGTTCGCGGCAGATACTGGGACGCATAAAGGGTTGAAATTGCTGCGGAGCAAGCCCGTTCTGCACCAACTGTGGAAGCTGGCAGGCAACCACGATCAGACAAGACCCAGCGTCCGCAGCGAACAAGCTGTGCATCGCGGGGTTATGGCAGCTTGAGTCTGCTCATACTCGAAACTTCATTGATGCGACCATCACACACTGGTTACGCACTGTTCCACTCTATAAGATCATTTACAGTGGTAATTACACCATTTGTAACAGCCCTCTCGCCACACGAAAATGTGGCAGAGATTCCGTTTACACTATGCTGGCGACTGACGACGATCGTTTTGTAGACAAGTTACGACACGCAGTAGACAGCAAATATTTCCTAGCAGTTGAGCTGATACAATGCAGTTTTGCCATGTTAAATCTTATTGGTCCCAGTGCGAACACCATGCACTTGTGCCGCGTGCAACGCAAACGAACAATAGTTGACGTCTCTCTCGCAGTTCGGCAACACCTGGTAGATGACCCGAACAGATGGTCCATTTCATTAGCGTTCATCATTTAGTAGTTGCAGAGTGCACGAGGGTAAATAAAAAATCCTCACGCTGCGGACGCTGGAGTGTGCGGGGTGAGGAAAGGCGTGACCATGGAGTGGTGCAGCCCGCTTCCCGCAATATGTTGTCGGCTTGCCCTTTCATGGGAATATGTTTAGAACGGGCTGCCATTGCGCCGAACGCAGTCCGTGGGGTGGGCCACCCAACATTCAAAACTGTAACGGATTTAGAAGAGGTTGCAATAACAATAAGGGTATTCGGATACGAAAAATTCCAACCTCTCCGCTACCCGCAATTTGTACCGCTGTCGTCAATCGGCACTGTTGCAGAATGTTGTTTTCTCCCTCACAGAACGGTCCAGCAACTTGAAATTATTCGACTGCTTGTACTTGAGGGTGTGGGAATTGAACGGTGAGTTTCATTAATCTACGTACATTTCCTTTGTTAGGAACGTACCTTAGACCAGTCATGCCCTTGTCCAGCAATCCGGTTCCATCTTCATTCGCTTCGTAGACGGTGAAGCCGTTTCGCCGTTGGCAGTGCTGCTTGATGCTCCATTCAATGAGCTGTTCGTCATGCGGATACCAAAGCTACAAACATGGATAAAACACTGGTAAGCGTAGGGCAACCATAAAAACAGGAATAATGTCTAACCGCTGCTTCTTTGGTACACGCAGAATTCGAGGTAGAGGCGGCTGTTCCCTTGGAATCTGCTGGAGTGTGATTTACGGGAGTTTCCGACTAAGAAAAATAATTGAAGCATAGATAGGGAGTTTCCGATATGACCTTCTGTCTGCTAAATTTCACCTTAATTGGAGGCATAGTAGTGAACGTTTCCGAATCATCTCCAGACATGCTAAAACTCCGTGTCTTCCCGGGTTCGCTTTTCACAGGCTACAAAACAAAACATAGTTCAAGTAATTCTAAAAATTTTGGAAACTTAGCAAAAGAGTGGTGCTCACGATATGTCGCTTGATCTCATTGTACGTATGGATATAGTAGAAGCTAGCGATATCATCACGCATGCCAATCTTTGTCTGAGTCCTGTAATTGAAACAAGCAGAAACCTTTTTCGGTCTACAGAGCAGAAAATAATGTGATACCTAAGAGAATGCAGGGCATAGAGGGCAAAGAAATGAGTCAAATTAGCAGAGATGCCATCAAGCACCGCCTGAGTAAGGTACTTGTCATTGTCGCAATAGGCCCATAACTTCATGAGATGCAGCTTGACCTCTTTTTCTATCACAGCTTAAAATACGATCATCAACTTACAAAAAACTACATAGTTAGCAACGTCACAAACCATATTCAATGGGGGGATAAGTTTCATTCTCGGCCAAGAGACGTGTACCGCTGCGCCATACTACAAGACGATCGGCGATGAACTTGATCAGATCAGTGCGCTGAAATGAACGTATTCAAAAAACGGCGTTATTCCGGTGAAGTGGGACGTCTTGGCGCATAACACCTACGGCAATTAGAACTTCTATATAATATAATTAGAACCGCACCCCCAAGCTCATTTCACTAGGACTAGGGAAAAATACTTTCTTCTGACACGCTTCTTATGCCATGCTTGCGAATCGGAAAAACAGGAGAATTGGCACTTTTGCATTTTTTTGAAAAACGCGCTCCAGCGAAGTACACCCATCGATTCGGCTACTCAGTTTTGCTCGAAAGATGGTCAGGGGAAGGGCACGCTAAAGGAGAAAGTAGGAATCGATCGACGCCGCTTGCTCTCCCGATTCGCCGGTCCTGCTAGCGTTCATACTTCGTGATCCGATCGCTTGGATCCCGCGGTCGGATGGCTCGAGCGACTAGATAGCGAAACGTTAACACGCTCTTACTCTCACCCAACTGCCGAGCTACCGCAGCCGATGCGCGTATTCTTTCAATGCGTCGGATCGCCGAATCTCCCGGAACGCAAAGTATAAACGCTGCCATAGTGTTCTTAAATTCTTTCGTTTCAACGTACACAATCTCAATGGAATAGCGCCAAAACGCCGTCCCAACTCGAAGCATGAAAACAAGTTCCTGGTCCTATTTCAATAGAAAACAGAACGTTGGAAAGCAAATGTAAGGAACCTGTTGCGCTGAAAGCAGTTCTTTAGGAACCACATAATTGAGAACTCCATTCATAAACGAAATAAGAGCAGGTTGTCTCAGAGCATAGTTCCTTAAAACAATAAATGGTAATGTTGGTAGTGAGTTATGAATCAAACAAACTAGAAACGTACTCTACTACAATTTCCTCAGAACTTGTGAACTTCGGAAAACATCGTTTCGCTGTGATACTGAAACAGTATTAGTTAAAGATAATCAAAAGACATGAATGTATCTCAGCGAATCTAGGTTGCAGCAACGCGCTGAAACTAGCGATGTTCCCTTGCCAGTTAACATATTTATGCACTTCCACTTTTAATCAGTAGGGTTTTAGTGCTAGTGTACGCACTGACGCTGTTTAGAGTCTCATTTTCGCCGCGTTGCCGCAACATGAATCGGATAGCATACACCTCTGAGTGATAATAAAAGGGCACTTTAAGTGGGGAAAACCCCATTGTAGTTGTGAGACATACTCTTGGTGCGCTATCCTGCTTGCCTGATGCTCCCTACGACCGAGCCTGGAGACAGAAAGGATAAGTTTCCACGGGTGCAGAGCAGAATTACGCTGCCGCGGGTTCCTGTCGCCAACTCCGGGGACGCGAAAGAGTCATCGTAACGGTGAATCATCCAAGACTGATAGATAGAGCTCATAGAGTGGCGAAACACGGTCTTTCCTTTCGACGGAGCATAAAAGAGTCAGGAAGCGCACGTCAAGGGGAAGTGTAAATACCCTTTTGGCGTCTTGTGAGATAAGAGAATCGATGCTTTTGGGAGGAAGCTCGTCAAGGAAGCAAAACGGGGACCGATCAACTCCTCCTATTCTTCGATTCTCCTATTCTCCCGGAAGGCTGGTGGCGTGTGCTGTTTGATATCATCCACATTGACGCCTATTCTCCAGCATCTATTCATGAGTTCGCTGCTCTCCCAGGCCACAAACTATGGAAGCGGTCCAGAGCACTTCCATAGTTTACGGCTTGGTAGGGTAGGAGAACTGCGAGGCAAACGTTACTCACAGGGCGGGTTAGATTTGCGAACAAACTGAACTCAATCGCTCTAATCACATCAATTTCCCCGTTTCATTGTTATCGTTCGCACGGCATTCTACGACGGCTGCGGCTCCATACATTCCAACTTCACACATAATACAAGTAACCTACTTAACGCAAAGTCCCTCCCCTTCGGAAAATCCGCCCCGATTCGCGTGGGTTTCCCGAAAATCCTTAATTAATAGTTCCTGGTCATCGCTGCCGGGCATCTGTATGGGCTACAGGGTTTCGCGGCAGAACATGCAGCTAGTCAAGTGATCGTATCTGCACGCAACTTTCGTTCGTTGACTCAGTCTCGCGGGTTACCATGCCATGCACTGCGAATTTATTCAATCGTTGCACACCTACTATGGAAGGGATGCCTTCTGTGGCGTTACAAGTGACACTACGAAAGCAGCCCACATCCTCCGTTAACATGACAGTGTACATACCAAGTAACAAAGGGATTATCACAAGAGTGCTGAGTTGTGGGCAAAAGTTGGACCATGGGCAGGATCAAACCCGCTTCTTCCGCTTTCCGTGCCATTGCGTTTCCTGTTACGCTACTGGGCCCACTCTTGCCCTCAGCATAATGGCTATTCGTGCCATTGCCTTCACTGCCGATATCGGCTACCGGCTCATCACGTTGAACGTGTGAGTGCTCGAAGGCAATGGCACAAATAGCCATTGAGCTGAGTAAGGGTGGGCCCGGTAGCGTAATAGGGAACGCAACCGCACGGAAAGCGGAAGATGCGGGTTCGAATCCCGCCCGTGGTCCGACTTTTGCCCACAACTCAGCATTCTTGTGATAACTTTCGGATCGCGCACTGCGGCGTTAAACAGCAGTTATCAAACAAAGGGATTATCAGCCGCACCTCGCATCCAGTTGCTTATGGTTCTCCTTTATTTTTTGTACTATATGGTAGACTTCCTTCATGAGACCGGATCCCCGCAGGCGCCTACAAGCGTTCCTCCCAACCATGAACTCCATAAGAGATGTAGCCGGCAGCTCTGACACCTAAAATGGAGCATGAGAGCTACAGAACCTCAGCAAAATCATCCTAAATGCCTTAGTGATGAAGACACAAACCGTATCTAAAATGGAACCATTCCTGCGAGCATATGCTTGTTTCATTTCTTCAAGGAAAGGAACATGATTCGTTGGATTCAAAAAGGATTCCTGCATACAGTTCCCTAAGACAACATGATAAGTATAGCTGTAACAATACTACTACTGGCATCTCGACTAATCAACTTATGCCAGAGAGAGACAATAGTTATACGCGCATATTCAAGGCCCCCTCTTACAATATACAATAAGCATGGGCGATGTCTGTGCCCCTCCCCCCCCCCCACCCGAAGGAGAACTGAGCCTACCCTGGACCTCTGGAACGACAGTCAGTCCTCCTTCTGCTTGGGGGAAAATTTTCAGTTCTCGCCAGTCATCGCCGATGCTTCCTGCGGATGCATAGTTGACAGTCCTTACTGGCTGATGAGACTTGTAAGAGGTACTGGAAAAAGAAAATAGAAGACTCGAAAAGGTCTCCCCTCTCAAGCCAACACATGACCGAAGGGTTTCACCATAGGACGAGGAAACGACCTCAGCATCTTCTACCCATTCATCATAAACCCTCCTACGATGATTCAGCGAAAAGATCCGGCCGAAAGGCGACAAGCTGGCTCAAGGGCGTAAGGGAAACCCCTCCCCAGTCGAAATCTTCTCGCCCTCTCTTCGATCTCAAGCCAACTTTCCCCGAGATCAGCTCCTCCAAAACTACCAGATTTGCCAGCGCCACGGTCACCAAAACGGCGAGGGGGGGGGATATGCAGCCGTTTGCTACCTTCCCCATAGACACGCCCGACATCATCCTGTAAACTGTAACATCGTCGTGAAGCACGAAATGACACCACCGACAGTTCATTGGTGAGCCTGCTTGTCAAACCCCGCGAACAGTGCCTGCTCAACCCTCCTTGTCAAGCCGATAAACATACTATGGAACACCAGTCACCACTTGCTTCTCGACGGCTTGTTCAGGCTTCACAAAAGGTTCACAGCGTTCAGCCCTGCGTTGAATTCTGCTAAACCTCAACTAATTTGCAACCGCAACTAGCGAAACAGCGGAAGTGCAAAATGCCCCCTCCTCGTCGTCGAACTGAGCCAATTCGAACTGACAGAACGTGAAAGGAAGAGGTAACCACAACGTCTATCACTAAACAACGAGTATATGACGCAGTATATGCGAACCTGCGTGAAATAATCACAGAAAGACTGATAAGGACCTTTATCAGATAACAATAAACATCTGGATAACCGATCAATCCATACTCCAACAGAACCAACAGAACCGCTAATACTGTTGTGAATAGACAAACCTCTTTTGCCTGTGAGTCGTAAAACGCAGAAAGTTCGTATATTCACAACATATATCATTGAGTAATCTACCATTTCACAAAAACCGAGTCAACTTGATGAAGAACTTACAACTACGAAATCTACTAGAGCAACCAGAAGGATACAGTATAACAGAGAAACCCAACAAGAATGGTCAACGATTCTAGCAGATGGATTAAACAGTCGTCTTTCGTTCAGTTCGAGCTTTTTCCAATTGTAAAGCAATCTGTTGCGCTCGCAAAGTTAGTCGTTTGGTATTCTCCATTACCTAGAAAGGTCCAAAAAATCAGAAAAAAGACCTCAAGTGACCGAACATTCTGGGTTAGTAGGAAAAAGAACATGTAGCACACCTGCTCGTGTATACTGACGGCTTTCACTCCCATAACAACTTGACCAAGTTTGCTGTCGAATTTTAGCTCCTTCAATTCGATAGTTTCGGATTAGGTCTACAATCCATCGCTCTGCTTCTACCTAAAATCGAAAGGTGCTAGTCTACCCAAACAATTAACTTCAAACAAGTGCATCAAAGGAAAAATGCATCACATGTCAGTTCATGAAACCTCTCTAAAGTACCACGTTCTAGTTACCACAAGGATAACAGAGGGGGTATAGTGGCAAGCAGCGCTCACCAGGCGCGCAGTCAGGATGGTCAAATCTGGTAC